GGACGAAGCGTATACCGTCCCATTTCACAAGCCTCTGACTTCCGCACTTCTCGTACTTGTAGTACGCGTAGTGCGCGTACTTCAAGCGTGCAGTCTCTTAATTGGGACACAGCCTCTGACTGAGGAGAGCCAGCAGGCGTCTCACCTGTGCCTGCAGACCACAGGTGTGTTCACCTTTCAGCATAAAGTTCTTGCTGTGTCTCAATTCACTGATCGGGTTCATTGATGATGTCATCAGTGTGTGACAATATCAAAACTGTTAGGCTGACGAAGACATTTTTCACGTGTGGCCAAAGGCGGAGCCAGCTGTTCCAGGAGGATGCAGTCACTGTGAGGCATGAAATAAAAACATTGAACCTCATTTTAATCCGTTTTTGTCTCATTTCTAAGAGTTTGATCATTCCAGACTTTACTTTATTTTGAAATGTCGGGATGTGTTGCTCATGAAAGAAACTATTTTTTCTCCAACTTTATTTCAACAGAATCTTCAACAAAAAGCAGAAAACTGCACGATGTAAAATTGTAGTGCAAAATTATGATACAGTGGCAGAGTATGTACAAATAAATAGGACAGAAATGCAGATTCAAACAGGGAAAGGCGAGAGACACCGTGAGATTATTAATGGTTTTAAAGCTTTCTTGTTGTAAGAGGAACAAATTGTTCCGATTCTGTCCTGAGAGTGGAGAAGTCACATTTATGGATGTGGAGTTTGATTAATGAGAGTCTCTCACTAAAGTCTAAACCAAAATACGTTTTGGTAGAAAAGATTTTGATAAGATGCTGTTAGAGATGAACGTAGTGACATGATTCCATAACAACTGAGTAAAGGTGAATTTTCCAAATAAAATCTCTTCACTTTGTTACTGACCTTTATCCAGTCTGCGTCCTCGACAAACTGAGACCAGAAAGAAACCGACTGAGGAGCAGAGGTCAGAGACGTAGAGCGTTAATTAAGTAGTTAGTTAACGAATGGATCAAAATTATAGATGAAATACAAACAATTGACCTACAGAATAAGGACTCAGGAAGATCAATACCATAAAAAGTGGGAGAAATGGACTGAGTACATAAACCCAACAGGATAAAGACCAACACACTGATAATGAGAAATGATCAAACTGTAGAAACAAGGAGATCCAACATGGGTTTGTTTTGTTATCCTACCTGTTGTATTTATCTTTTTGTTCCTGTTGTTGTTTTGGTGTTTTGTTTTGTTGTTACCCCCCGTATAATGTTTAAAGAAAACAATAAAAAGAAAGTAAAAAAAATAAATTCAGTTGAGTTGAAAAGATACCAAACAAGGCAATGGGGGAAAAATAAAATGAAACAATCTGAGGGTGAAATACAAACGTAAACTCAAAGGAGTCACAAATGTCCGGTTGTATTTCAGACCTCAGTGGGTTCATCCAACAAATCATGAAAAATGAGGTTTACATGTTTGTTCATGACGGTGCAGATTTCTGACATTTTGTGTCATTTAAGCTGCAACAATGTGACTGTTTTCTAACAAAAACAGTGAAACTTAAGTTAGACTTGTGTTTGTAAATGAAGCGCCCCATGTTGTGTAGCTTTCTGGAGTTTATACTTATTGGGCTACATATTTATTTATCATACAGGCTGTACAGTATATAGCATCAAAACTCACATGTTTTATGTAACTAAAGTGTGTAATCATGTGGGCTACAGACAATAATTAAGTTATCGACTATATTTATATGAAAAACGTGCATACTTACTGCATTTGAATCATGTAACCATATGTAACCATGAGTATTTGGGGAGGGGGGGCTTCGACTTTGCCACCCTAAGAAAATCTCTCTAGATCCGCCCCTGGGCTGTAACATCTATCCGTGCGTTTGTCAGTTTTTACTTTATTTTAAGCTCTTTTGTCTTCTTTTTTTTTTGGGCCGTCAGCTGACCCGTTGAAGTGGGCGTGGTTCTAACCGGAAGCTGACCTTTTTAAACCGGAAGCTGAGCTGTCGGTTGTGTTTTGGAAGTTGGTGGTCACGTGAGCTTCCGTCGTCATTGGGAGAGTGAGTCCAGACATGGCGGCGGAGCCTGCGTTCAAGGTAAAACATGATCGCGTTTCCGGGATTCTGCCGCGGAGGCCGGAGCTCCGCGGCGGGGAGAAGAGAGCTCCGTCCTGTCGGGCCGGGAGCTCTGTCCTCCGGCTCTGCGCCGCCGCTGCTCGGATAGCCACTGAGCTCACCGACCGCAGCTGCCTCGGGAGGCGGCTATCCGCCGGCCTCTGTCCGCCTCTCCGGCCCGGACGCTGTCTGCGGGCGGCGTAGGGCTGAGGGTCGGGGCTCTCAGGGGACAGGCTGGGTTAAGCTAGCGTGCAGTGGTCCCTGGGCGGACCGGTGAACCTCAGCAGACCGCTTCGAGTTTGCGTGATTGATCTCAGGGGAACCTGATTGATTTGTTTTGATTAGTATTGATCAGTGGTTTTATCTGAAGCTTTGATTGCGGGTGGCACAGGTGTGAACAGGTGTGCCACCTTCTCGCTGTATCGCAGGTTATTTTTCCCACAATGCCCTGAGTCCTCAGACGTCATGTGATGTGATCAGACTTCCTGCCTGCTGTATTGATCCTTCAGCTGACCTCACTGTGACTCTACTCCACAGGTGATATTTGAACACGAGGGAGTCTTCCTCCATCCCAGCAGTGATGAGGAGATCGAGCCAGACTTCCTGGTTTCAGGAACCCTCCGGATCCTTGAGAAGGTAACAGTCCCGACACACTCTGGTATCGATTAGTCAGCCTGGTCATCGATTAAGTATCAGAATGTCTCTGCGATGGAACGACTTGAAGAGAAAAACGTCCTCACACACCAGCAGCATGTTTGATACCAGGGCGATAACCTGATTGCTTAATCAAAGACCTGTTAAACTGCACATGATTGGCTGGAATAAAGCTCCGGTTTGTCACTGTTATTGATTGTTTATAGATCTATGCGATCGGAACAGAAGCGCTCTTTCTTCCTGAACGCTCCTGTGATTTGTTTGATTGATCGATGAAGTAATGTGTCAATGTGTGTCCTCGCCGTCAGGACGCCGAGATCGTGGTGGAGTATAGACCTCTGGAGGACGGCGTCGACCCCTCAAACATGCTCTGTGCTGGGAAGGTTTGTCCAAATACTCCCACTCAGTAGAGTTCGACTTTATTGACTCAAATTGAGTATCAACAAACCGAGTTTCCTGATTTGATTACATTCAAACTTCAAAGTTTCCAAGAACAGATTTTTAAACAAACCAAAAAAACATAAAAATTCATGTAAAGGTGATTTAAGAGCGTGTGTGTGCGCAGGACTCGAGCTCGGTGGTGGAGTGGGCTCAGTGTCCAGGGGACCGTCCACAGTCTCAGCAGCTGTTGGAGGCTCAGCTGAGCTACGAGACAGAGTGGGACATGGTGAACGCCGTGTCGTTCAGGAAGAGGCGAAGCTCCAACATGGAGGGTGAGCGGCTGCTTTAACCTGCTCGGCATGTTGGAATCACGTGACTCAGATTCAGAGACGATGAGGCAGCGATGAGGAATTTTAATGCTGTCGACTGCAGCCTAGCCTCGAGCTGCCGGGCTGCATCTGCAGGTCGTGAAGACTCTCAGCAGCCTGAGCCAGACGGGTGCATCGGCTGATCTGAGCTTTTATTTTGAAATCCCTGTGTTTTCTAATCCCTGCTTCCTGTCTCCAGGTTCTCTCAACAGCAGCCACGAGAGGAGCCGCTTGGCCTTCGCCTTCAGTGTCAGTGACCTCCGCTCCGTCACGGTGAGGGAGGAGGGCTGGACCTTCATCATCCTGCAGCTGAAGGACTCCTCCACCCCGCTGCCACATCTGCACTTCCACCAGGGTGGCAGCAGAGCGTTCCTGGACAGCCTGAGGAGGTTCGCTCTGCTCACAGAGTGAGTCCAGCGGTTGATGTTAAGCTCTGACCCCGCCCTCCACCTCAAGGAGGGCTGGTTTTTTTTGTTTGTTTGTTTGTTTTTTGTTTTGTTTTGTTTTTTGGGGGGCGGGGGGCTGGTCAGGTTCACATACAGATCAAGTTATTGGTGTTTGTGTCACAGACAGTTTATTCAAGTTACTCTCAGTCAGGAAGACATATAAATGTTACTCCACCTTGGGGTGGGGGCTGCGGGGGGATTTGGCGCCGGCGCCGCTCTCTCGGGTCATTTATATGCTAATGGCTGATTTCCACAGGCGTGCGGCAGCGTTCCCGTCCCTCTGATCCAAATATCGGGTGAGGCGGGGGCAGATAGCTGTTATTAAAGTTCTTATCAGGCTTCATAATGACGTCCCGCCCACGTGCTGCCTGCTGATTGGCTGATAGAATCTGTACACCCCAAAGAGACGAGCGCTTCCTCTGATGTCTGATTTACCGCTCGCGCCGTGAATAATAAGCACCCGTTTGTTATCAGAAGGCCGGCGTTGATCCTGTGAGCTGTTACTGAGGTCACATGTTTCCTGTTTGCAGGTCTCCCAGCGACCACACGTGCCTGCTGGTCAGCACGCCAAACAAAGCTCTGTCGCAGTCCTTCGAGAACCTTCTGGACGACAACAACTTCGGCCTGGTTCACGTAAGAAGTTTAACCATCTCTCACTGCCAGCTGTTAGGCTCAAACATCTGGATTCGCATGCACAAACATGCACGCACACGCGCGCACACGGGGGTGGTCGTCGATTAACCTGTCTGATTTCTCTTCGATTATTTGTGTGCTGAGTGCAGTCTGGGCAGGTGATGCAGCGATGCTGCCCCCACAGCTTCCTGTGGTGTACTGCAGGTACAAAAACACATTTATGAGGTTTGAGCATGCGACGTGTCAACGTCATGGAGTGTGGCGACGTGCGCGCAGGGACTCTGTCGCACTGAAACATGCTGCACATAAAAGTGTGAGCATCACATGGTCCTCACAGTGAGGGGTTCAGCAGCTGTTACCATGGTGATTTAAACGGACACATTAACGTGTGATCTTCACGCAGATGTTTCTGTGGAAGCTGCTGTGCATCAGCGCATTTGTTTCAAACTAAATAAATCTGTGTGTTGGTTTTGTGAGCGAGGTCGCTGCTGTTGGCTGCTCTGGTTTCACACGTAGAATTCTGTCTGTGAAAACACGTCGTAGGATTTATTTTCAGATGACGTTTGGAGTCGTGCGCTCCATCTTGTTCCGGCGTCCGTCGGCTGATGAGCTCTGCGTTTGTCTCCTGCAGAAGTTCAAGCGGGACCCGTATGTCACCACGCTCGGCGGCTTCTCCAAAGTCACAAACTACTTATTCGACGCGCTGCGGGGGATGGAGGAGCAGCAACAGCGCCCCCCAGAGGAAGTGGCCGACCTGCTGGGCGAGGTCATCCCGGGGCTGGAGATCAACCAGCAGGAAGAGCCGGGCTTCGAGGTCATCACCAGGGTGAGGGGTCTAATGTGATTGGCTGTTAGGCAGACGCGTGGCAACGGGTGTGTCAGCCGTGTGATGCTCTTTGCTCACCTTTGACCCCGTCAGATCGACCTGGGCACGAGGCCCGAGGTGAGCAGGAAGTCGCCGCTGACTGCAGACGACTGGGCGCGACACCAGGATGCAGACGGGAGGATGAAGGATGTCCCAGACCTGAAACACGCCGTCTTCAAGGGGGTACGTACGTGTCTGTGGGTGTGTCCAGCTCTGAACCAATCAGCTGACGTGATTCTTAGCAGCATCACTCATTTATTCAGTTTTGGGCTGTTTGATCTTCACTTTGTTTTTTATGCCTGAGTTTACTGTAAAGCACTCGTTGGTGTTTTGACCTGTGACACTGATTGAAACGAGCAGAGACCACGCCCTGACGCGTCTGTGTCGTCTGCAGGGTCTGTGCCACGCCCTCAGGAAGGAGGCCTGGAAGTTCCTGCTGGGGTATTATCCCTGGGAGAGCACGCACGAGGAGAGGAAGACCCTGCAGAGAGAGAAAACGTACACACACACACACACACACACACACACACACACACACACACACACACACACACACACACACACACACCTGATTACCCTGACTGGTGTGTATATCATGTTAACATGAGGGGTGTGTGTGTGTGTGTCAGTGATGAATACTTCAGGATGAAGCTGCAGTGGAAATCTGTGAGTGAGGAGCAGGAGAGGAGGAACTCCAGACTGAGAGACTACCGCAGTCTGATCGGTGAGCAGCACCTCGGCTCAGGCCTTGTTTGGTTATTTGGGCGGGGCTCCTGATGGAGAGCAGTCCAGTGTAGCGGGTGGATGACGTCACATTTGAAGGTGTTTGTGATGTTTGATGTGCCAAAGAATCAGAAGCATTGATGAGCGATTGATTCTTGCTCTGATGCTGGAGATGATGTCAGCGTGGAGTCGGGTGCAGCAGGTGGGTGAGATCGTAACACTGTCGCCGGGATCAGATCTGAGGCGTTACCTGTAAAGTTAAAGGAGTTAAAGGAGTGAACGCAGTACTTCAGTGAGGTACTCGAGTGAATGCTCAGTTACTGCCGCGGTGAGGTGGAGGGAGAGCTGCGGGAGTTGAGCAACGACCGCTTTGGTCTTCTGAGTTGGGTGGTACAGCTTGCCGTGAGGGGGTAAAGGTCAAAGGTCATGTGACGTATGTGTCTGCGCTCTCAGAGAAGGACGTGAACCGAACAGACCGAACGAACCGCTTCTACGAGGGCATCGACAACCCGGGCCTGGTCCTGCTGCACGACATCCTCATGACCTACTGCATGTACGACTTCGACCTGGGTGAGCGAACGCTTTGCCTCCGCAGGTACGGCGCCGCTTCCCGTTTCCTGGTCGTGACAGGAAGCTCTCTGTGTTGCAGGTTACGTTCAGGGCATGAGCGACCTGCTGTCGCCCATCCTCTACGTCATGGAGAATGAGGTCGAGGCTTTCTGGTGCTTCGTGGCCTTCATGGACCAGATGGTGAGTCTGATCTTTGCTCTGACAGCTCGGACGTTTAACCGCGTGCTGATTTACCGCCATGTGTCCTGCAGCACGAGAACTTTGAGGAGCAGATGCAGGGCATGAAGACTCAGCTGATCCAGCTCAGCTCGCTACTCAGGCTGCTCGACCTTGCCTTCTGGAACTACCTCGGTACGCCGCCTGCAGCTGTGCGTGTGTGTTTGCTGTGAATAACGGCGGCTCTGAATGACTCCGCCCCCTCTGTCTGTGTCTCAGAGTCTCAGGATTCAGGATACCTGTATTTCTGCTTCCGCTGGCTGCTCATCAGGTTCAAGAGGGAACTGAGCTTCGTGGACGTGCTGCGGCTCTGGGAGGTTGGTGTCCTCCTGCGGGGTCGGAGGTGCTGACAGGTGTCGTTCTTCCTGTGGTCTCACGTGTGGTTCCTCCTCAGGTGATGTGGACCGGGCTGCCCTGCGAGAACTTTCACCTGCTGGTGTGCTGCGCCATCCTGGACTCAGAGAAGCAGAAGATCATGGAGGAGAACTACGGCTTCAACGAGATCCTGAAGGTGAGCGTCGCCCCAAAGCTGCCCGGAGATCTGTGCACACCTGAGATTGTTCACCGACCTGTGTGTTTCAGCACATCAACGAGCTCTCCATGAAGCTGGACATCGAGGAGATCCTGCAGAAAGCTGAGGGCATCTGTCTGCAGATCAGGAGCTGCAAGGTGAGTGCAGGGAGCGTCTTCTGTCGTGGTATGTCCATCTGACCCCTCACCCTGACCTGTCTGCTCCTCCTCAGGACCTCCCTCGCCCTGTCGCCACCATCTTGGGCTTTGACGTCGAGTCTCGCCGTGCAGGCTCGACCGATTGCGGCTCGGCGGTGACTTTCGGAGCAGCTCGGCGGGAGGTTGGCGTCTCCAACGGACACTCGAGAGAAAGCAGCTGCGAGCAGAGTGGCAGAGGGGCCTTTGTATCGTAGTGAAGAGTGGAGATGGACTGTGTGTGGGTGGGGTGAATCTGTGGCCCCGCCTCACTGGAGGAGGGTGTGTGTGTGTGTGTGTGTGTAAAGAGATTATTAAGAATCTTATTTTTGTAATTTCTTGTATCGTGCGGCTCTAATCGGGCATTCCTCCACTCTGAAGCCTCATTCATCCTGATGAAGAGGAGGTGGAGCCAACCAGTGACTGAGCAATCATTCACCTCTTGGCTCCGCCTCCTGAGTGTTACAGATATGTTAAAGATAGGGGTTAGGGTGGAGCAGTTGTCTGGCTGTAGTTTGAATGAATGAGGCTTCAGATCCAGGAAGTTCTGCCAACAAGAGCCCTGATTGGCCATGCAGTGACAGAGGGAGGAGCTCTTTCTGTTGGATGATGGCGCTCGCATTATTCGCCGACAGGAGGTGCCTGTGTTCCTCTTCCTGTTGGTGCTCTGACGTTTTTCTCTGTACTGAGATCAGATTAAAGACTCCACGTCATCAGCTTCTGTCACCATGACGACGGCGAACAAACCAAAGAAATAAAGTTTGTTTCCTGCAGCGTGAAACCGTCTCAGCTGTGACATCTGGATCACACTCACACACACAGTTTCCTCTCAGGGTTGAAACACTGAATCTGGTTCATGTTGTGAGTGCAGACGAGCTCAGCGTCCAGCATGGCTCCACCTGAGGAACGCTAACAGGTGGTGCAGTAGAGCTCTTTGGTCTGCATCGCCTGCCTGATGTAACGAGGACACAGCTCCGTAATGCTGTAGCCTTACCCAGGCACTAGGGGTGCAACGATACTCGTATCGATATTGAACCGTTCGATACAGTGCTTTCGGTTCGGTACGCATATGTATCGAACAATACAACATTTGTAATTTATTTTATCAACTTTCCTTCTGACGATGCTGTCTGTGTTGAGAGCTCAGTGAATCTGCGTTCGACTACTCCGCCTAGGCTGCACTGTCGAGCGCAGATTCACTGAGCGCAGGGCAAGCTAGCAAGACAGAAGTTAAGCTC